TTTGTCAATTTGCTATTATATAACAATAATATGCTTCCATACACAAGAACCCTTTGAAAAATAACAAACAAATTATCTTTACTCTGAAACTCTAATATTATTAAGTACGATCATATCGGATGACCTATATTAGACAGCAGACATAAAAGTGATAAAAATAGACGTAGCAGCTGCGTAACTCTTTTCTTTGAAAAGAAAACAACACGTTGAGCAGACCAAAGTGCTGTTGTCACGCTTACGCACAAGTGTTCTTAGTAGAAGCTGCTGGGTTCTGACGTCAAAATTTGAAAGGCTATATTTATTTGTTAACATAAACGAGTGTGTTCGTTAAAATTAGTAAAGCTTGTTTATGTATCAATGAGGTGACAACCAGTTATATCTACTCTGGTGAGTAAATCAAAGGTTTGGGGCGTACTAAGCATGTCATTGGTTTTATCAACAATAATGCAGCCCCGCCCATTATATTTCTTACATAATTAGCTATAGAAAGTTTTCAAATATAATTTCCTTGTCAAGCAAAAAAAAAACAGGATGAAAGTTTGTTTCGTTGATTTCCTTGACATAGTTCTTGAGGCGTTTCGGAGTCTTAAATTGAGTCATATAAGTAGAAGGGCCAGAATTCAAACTGTTTTAAGCAATTTTTGTTTCGGAAAGTATTCGAATAATTATATCATAGATAATTAGAAAGTGAGAATAATATATAATGGAACTTGAAGTCCACTAAATAGACTTAAAGACTTAAGGCATTTTTCTTTTTTACTTTTATATGAATCTCCAAAATTTAAATGTTATTTATTTTTGTTTGAATTTTATTTCAATAAATGAAGGTTATCTGAAAGTCAGTTTTACACTATCTTAAAATTTGCAGTATATATATCTTCACGTGAAAATATTCATGTCTCCTTCATTTCTCGGCGGGTTGACTTGAATCTTGGTTTACGGACTTACAATGCTAGAAAGCTGGTTTCGATACCCGTGGTGGGAAGAGCACAGATAACCCATTGTGTAGCCTTGTGCTTGACTTCAACAAATAAACAAAATGCCTTCATTCAGTACGCCTGACACCTTCTTCACATTTTTGACTTAGACTTTTTTTAAGGATTTTATGGAATCAAAATTCAAACAACTCAAAAATGTATATTTTGGGCTTCTGTGCGGTCATATTTACAACAATCAATATGACAATTGGTACAAATATAAATTTTCATGTGGCCAATACATTCCCACAAAAAAAAAAGTTGGATTTACTCATCTTGAGTCTTTCTAGGTGGATCAGAGTTCACCAAAAAGTTACCCAGACATATTTTGACTAATTTACATGGGAGTTGGTACAAAAATACTTTTCTACAGGTTTCGCACATCGGTAAACAAAACTGGACTTGCTCATTTTTAGTTACTATAGGAGAGTCAAGTTGTCACACAAAAAAGCAGAATTTTAGGGTTTTTTGACAATTACTCTGCCGTATTTCGCCAATTTACATGAGATTTGATACAAAGATACTTTGCTACAGATCTCATACATACAGTATATATACAGAGATATGGGCTATGGCCTTTTAGGGAGGGCTCAAAAGTTTAAATAAACCCATAATATTAGGAATTTTGGTCAATTACTTAGCCATATTTCGGGCAAGTTACGTGGGATTTAGTACAAATATACTCTTTGCAGGACCCAAACAGAGACATAGAAAATGTTGAAATTTTTGTCTTTTGCTCAACTTTTTAGTGAATAAAGCACAATTTCGGGTTTTCGTGAACTATTAATGTGTAGGTCAACCAACTTACGTGGGATTTGGTACATAGATACCTTCTTGCAGATCCCAAGCAATGATATAGACAGCTTTAAATTTTTCTGTTTTTCACGATTTTTCCGGTGTCATGATTAGCCATGTTGGGATTGTGTGGCGGAGACACGTTGCATTTGCCAGTGAATGTTGGCCTATTATTTATGCTTGATTTTATATTAACCCTACTGTGATCGATGTAATTCAAGTGGCTATTTGATTTTTAAACACTTTTTTTAAATCATTCAATGGAAATAACAGTCTCAAATCGACTATACTTCGAAGCATCATCTTCAAGAGTGTACTTCACAAGATCTCATGATACACTTTTTACACCGTCTGTTAAATCATATCTTATTTTACAGTTTATTAAAGAATATCGCGCCACCTATCCTGTCAACCCTTTCCCTTTCTTTAATATATTCTCATAATTATTTTTAGATTTAATTATCTCCAACGATTCAGGAATATTTTTGGAACTGTAATTTCTAAGCTGGGCTAATAGCATAATTCTTCCAACCGGATCATATGTGGTGTTATACTAACATGTTCAGCTAATGCATACATCAAATTATTTTGCGGCTTCACGACATTTGCATTAGATAATCCATAGTAATTTACGAGCTATACACTCGTAAAATTAAGCACAAATACCATCAATATTTCAGTTAATCCAACTAATTCCTGATGGAGTGTTCGTATTTTACGTAAAAAATAATTCATTTCATTAAACCCTTTGGGGCACCTCTTAACATAGTGTTATAAAAGAAAACAACATAAAATAATTAAATTATGTAGACTTTACATGAACGGTATGGTAATAAATTATTTTAAAAACTCTGTAACTTGAAGGTTAACATATAAAGATTAGACTTTAGTAATCTAAAAACAACAACAAAATTATACTGTAGGAAAAAAAAGTTTCAAAACTTTTTCACAACGAATTTTCAAATAGAGAATATAAATTTAATCTGAAGGAAAGGAAAATTCGATGAGACAGAAATAAACGTTTAAGTTACAAAATGTAGTCTTCAAGAAAATTCGGCCCGGCATGGCAAGGTGGTTAGGAAGCTCGACTCGCAATATGAGGGTCGCGGGTTCGAATCCCCGTCACACCAAATATTCTCGCCCTTTCAGCCGTGGGGGCGTTTTAATGTGACGGTCAATCCCACTATTCGTTGGTAAAAGAGTAGCCCAAGAGTTGGCGGTGGGTGGTGATGACTAGCTGCCTTCCCTCTAGTCTTACACTGCTAAATTAGGGACGGCTAGCGCAGATAGCCCTCGTGTAGCTTTGCGCGAAATTCAAAACAAACAAACAATCAAGAAAATTCGGGAAACTTTAGGATTTAACCACATACGTAAATACTACTACAAGATATACTTCCGCAGGAACCACGAAAGAACTCTGTTTCATGAGTAAATTAATAGAAAATTAAGAGTAACAAATGTATTTATTTCTTGCTTTCGAAGTTCATATGTCATGCTTTGTTGTAAGCCTACAGAGTGTATGATTTTTCTCGTGATTCGTGGCATGCGTACGTTTTACTGATGTTACAACGAAATAATTTACAACGTTAAGTGTCCCTTATATGATGTCATTTTAGTGCCTACTGACTGACAGACAACACACTTGTATAGCGGTGCGTGTGGTTAAAGCAGGTGACCAATCCAGGCAGCCTTAGGCTCCTTTTCGGGGAAACTACTAGTAGTTTTGAAAGTTACCTAATTATGTTTGTCATAGACATTAGTATTAGGTCAACCATATTTTTCACTAATATGCATAAAGCTACACAATAGGCTGACTGTTCTGTGCCAACGCGCGAACATAGAAACCCGTTTTTAGCGTTATGAACCCGCAGACTTTCCACTGAGACACCAGGTGGCGTTTTGAAGAACTTTGTTGCTAAGCGCAAAGCTACACAATGCTACCAACCACGGGAATCGAAACCCAGTTTTTAGCTTTATAAGTCTTCAGACTTACTGCCGAGTCACTTGTGAGTGGGCTGGTTTTTTTAAAGAAATGTTTAATAGTATTTCAACCATGTGATCCTATACCCATTATTTATTTATCATCTTTAACGTTTCGTATACTGAATATTGTATTTATACATATATATATATTTATATAGATATATTTATATCTATTGTATTTATATTAAGAAATCAAATTAAAAGAAATTCAGCAGACATATTAAGATAAAGGTTAACCATTTTATGATCTAGCCAAATTTACATTCTGCGTGATTTCTTAAGTGTCATTAATACGATTTATGTTTTTAATAAGAAGTAAGGAAGAGCATAATTATAATCGTTTGTCTCTTATGTAGTGAGACATGGAGTTTTTTGTTTGTAATAAAACGGCATTAAAGCAAACAGTTCTCAAACTTACCAGAATAAAAAATTCATCTAAATAACTACTCAAAGTTTTTCTTATGTTTGCACTTACCACACAATGAAAACTTACGAAGGATGTGGCATAAAAAAACATTACACACCTTTCACAAGTTATCACTTTCTTCTGTTAGGTCCATGTGAATCATATTTTTATCTCACATACAAAGCTACAACTCTCCTTATAATTGATGTTCTTATCAAGTGCAGTAAGTATGTCATTATTAATCTCTTATAATCTGGCGTCATGAATAAAGTTGTTATTATCATTCTTTAAGCAAAGCTACACAATTAGTTACCTGCATGTTGCCCACCTCAGAGAATCGAACCTTGGATTTTGTCATTGCCAGTCCAGAACCTTATCACTTACCCACTGGGGGACTTATGAATATAGGAAAATCTTGCCTATCATGACTCACAATTCAAAGTTCAAATTCAAGTCAGCTTGACATAGTCACCTAGGAAATTCACCCATTTTGTGTAAACATATGATGACACTTTTCTGAAAAGAATGACGAAAAACCAGATTTAACTGCATGCGAGTGTAGACTCCTGTCTCAATAAAAAAAGGTTTAACTGGTTCTCAATGTGACTAATTAATTTTCACATTACTTAAACAGGACTTCTTAAAAATAAGGGTTTGTTTGTTGTTAATTGTAAAGCTTCACAATGGGCTATCTGTGCTCTACCCAATGCAGGTATTGAAACCTGATAGTTAGTGTTTTAAGACCCCAGACTTACCACTGAGCCATTGTGAAGCGAAGATTATATGAAAAAGCAGGCTATTTCATAGGAGTGTAATATAATAACTTTTCCCAAATAAAATCAAGTATTTCAGTTTATATTTATTCAACTTTCTAATACATTTAAAACATCACTTGTAATAAGTTGTTCGAGGAAACTTATGTTCATCCAACAAACAACTGGATGGGAAACTTGTTCACATTAAATACATTTTATTGCCCCATCACTTTTTAGAATACATCCTTAATATTGTTATTATATTTCTGAACAGTAAAAGACATTCAGCAAAAATATTATTTGAATTGTACTTTGATTTTATTCTAGACAAAATAAACTGAGAATCTGGAGATAACAATCTAAAAATACAGATCACTGGTACCAACAGCTTCATATACATATACACCTGTTGATCCTCAAAAATGTGGAACCTTAAGCATATTGTAGTTATCGACAAACTTTATAAAGTATTAATATGTATTTCCTTTATACAGACTTATTCAATATTCTATCTGGTACATTTATTCAAAGCTTTCTTGGCTGGAAAAATAATTATTGTATTTCATTTACACGTTATCACCAAATTCAAATCAATAAAATGGTAACAGATATAAGTTAAGATATAGTTTTAAGTAAGAAACCATTTAATGTCTGTGTAATTACATAAAAAGTTTAAGGTTTGAAACTTTAAAAACAACTAACACCCCATTTATATTTCTAGTAAAATAAGTGAAAAATCAGAAAATTTGGTCATTTCTAAACATTAACGACAACTGTTTAAAATTTATATGAAATTAACCACTGAGATACTGATGTATACCTACTTCTATATGTAATATATCACCTCAGTTCTCATTAGAACATACCAGTTTGAAGTATAACATGACTTAAGGATACAATGAAATTCAACACATTTACCTTCTACATGCTATAAGTAAATAATGCCCTTATGAACTTCATGCAAAACACCTGTATAATATTCGATTATTAAAACCATTTAACATAGGAAAATAATGAACAATAACGCCTCCAAACAAGGACACTATAAAAAAATTAAAATGTTAATTCATAAAAATGAAAAATATCAAAAATCAATTAGATATAAATGAATGCAAAGCTTGGAGTACTGGTAATCAAAATTCCATCTAAACATTTAAATATAACAATCACATTATAAAAAATTGTGAAATATTCAACTGATATTTTAGTATTTTTTTTCTCTGTATCTAAACGAATTTAAATGATAAAACACTGAAAATTTTGTTCACTTTTATTTCACGTCTAGGAGAATTAATATGTAACAATTGAATAATAACCATATTAGGTGACAGGTGTTCAATTTACTGTACAGACACAATTCTATACAATGAAAAACTGCCACGTTAAGTTTGACTATCTTGAAAAACCTTTTGTATTTAAATACGTGAAAAAGAATATTTGAAATATGTAGTTTTACACAAAATGTATAACTTCCTTAATGTAGACAATAGCTGCTTACACAATTGTGATAAAAGGAATATTATGAGATTTGTTTTTTACACAGAAAAGACAACAAACTTCAAGCTGCAGTGGTGGGTTTTTGTATCTTTTTATTTTAGTCGCAATTCATAAAGGATGATACTTATAAAAATTAATCAGATTTGTTAGTTTTAAGTATAAAAACTGTTGCTATGGCCATACAATTTAAATATTGGTAAGCAGGTGAATAAAGTAGAACAGGAAAATACACATATATTGAGATAGGCATATATATAAATGTGGTAGTATCACCGCTAACCAAACCTTGTATTTCTTACATGAAACTTAAAGTTCAAAATTATTATGCACCATAATAAACTCTTAAACTGATATTATATTTAGAAACTATCTGGAGATTCAATGCAAACAGAAATGTGAGATAATACACTAAAAACTGCTGTATTTCATCAACCATCTCAAACCAATTTCAACAACAACAAGGAAAAAAAAACACAAAACAAATTATATGATAATGGACTGGTTAGTTGAAACTGAAAAATATAAACAATTAATCTTTTTTGGATAAAACTCCCAGACAGACTAGCTGGTTATAATGAGAAGAGGATTTTGTTCGTAGAAAGTTCTCCATCTTTCCTTCTGAAACTTCTTCCTTGACACCTGTAGGAACATAAAAAAACAAAAAACACAATGACAGTGAAGCTTCAAATACTACTTCTGTGTGTTATTACAGAAATTAACATAATTATTAACAAAATACTTTCCCAATTCCAAGAAACAGATACATTTTTATTACATTATGTCATTATCAAGAACTTCTGATCCAAAGTAATTATATAGATCAGACTTAAAGAAATAATTTCCTAATTAATAATTAAAATACTAAAACATGTAAAGATTAGAATACATGGAAATATCGTTTGGGTACTCTCAATATTAACGATATTTTTAGCGTAATCCAAAATTCAGTCCTAAATTCATTCACTAGGGCATCAATGCAAAATAAATTTCGTCTGTGTAAACATTAATTTAAGAAATACATTCAAAATTATTTTATACATCATGAGCAATAATATTAATAAAACTAACTACAAAGAAAACACTGAACATGTCTTTACTTACAAAAGTGATAAAAATCAGTCATCAGTTCCTATAAGATGTTACCAATACCCGAAACCTGAGTGTACATATAAGCGTTCATGTGTTAACAGTAGGGCATTATAGCAAAGTTCTGTTATTGAAACACGACGAAAAGTGTGAAACCAGTGGAAAAAAAAAATCTTTATATCATTCTTCCAGACAACTGGGGGTGATTATTGAAATCCGACTTCTCTACACCGAATATATATAACTGTAATTAATATTAACTTCCGATCAGAGCAAACTACTTACTTAAATCAAAATTAAAACTCAACCACATAATACGAATAGAGAATTAAATATACTTTACAATTAGCAAGACATCAAAGATAAATGGTTTTTGACAAGTGTTTAATCTGAGAGTCGATAGGGGAAGTTAACCTTCTATTGCACATCGTAACGTTCAGGTAACAAAGCTATCTTTGTTCCTTAATACACATATAAATGCTTCAGTTTTGTAGTTGAATGCTCTTACCTCCAAGTAACAAGTTAATTAAACCGTAGAATTATATTTGTTGGTTCCTCAATTGAACAATGTTACTTCTGGAAAACGTACACATTTATAACTTTTTTGCACAATATAGATCTATTAAATCAATAAGTTCAAAGAAAAAATTTCCACCGTATTTTCACAATGCGTGCAATAGAGGGAAGTAAGGAGAAACTAATAAAACTCGGTTCAATTAATTGTGAAATTTAAACCCAATATTAATTACAGTAACGGAATAGAGAAAGTTACAGAAAAGTTGTAGTGTCTACAAACAAAGCCACACCTCCCACACACGTGGTCAAGTTAGGAAAAGGACAGCTGCAAGTAATAAATAAGACCACTTAAAAGCTATTCGAAATAGTGTAATTAGATACAATATCGCTAAAACGTTGACTTAATACAGTCGACCAACATACTAATATTTTTCATTACTGCTGTGTTAAATTACAAAATAAAACTACTTGAAAATTAAGAAGCGATTATAATATTTTGGAAAAGGTGTATTATGTAAAAAATGTTTAACCCCACAAACTGTGCCAAGAAGTGTTGAATTTGGGACAGAACTAAATAAACTTCGTGTTCAAAACACGGTTCGAGAAACCTCGCTTTCCAAAAGAAGGGATTCAGTGTTTGTGTGTGTGGATATTAAACCGGTAAAATGAATTCATATTATTATTTTTTATGATAACTGAAATAAGTTCAATATTCACGAAGATAAAAAAAATCTCAAAAATTATACTTTATGACTTATGTTTGTTTGTTTGTTTTTAAGTTAAGCACAAAGCTACACAATGGGCTATCTGTGCTCTGCCCACCACGGGTATCGAAACCCGGATTCTAGCGTTGTAAGTCCGCAGACATATTATGACTTATGAAAAACGATAAATAGATACCTCCTCTCGCTCAGATATACCTGAATAGGTCAGTTTGTTCTGGTTGTAATAATTTCAACTATTGCGCTTCAGTTTAATTAATACAACTTCTGATTGCTTACCTTCTGGAATATGAAACTCTATTGTTAGTTGTATTATTTCACGATTTACAATTCAATAATAAGTAATGTTGTTTATATATATTGAATTAAGAAAAAAATAAGCACAGATTTTAATCACAACAAAGATTATAAAAGGAAAAAAATAAAAAATTTGCAACAAATCAAAATAAATGAAGAAAAACAAAGAGCTGAACAAATGAACGTTTTGAAATGTGCTTAGAAACAAAATACATTTCATTGAGTAATTTCTTCACAAACTAATTAATTACTTGGTTGAAATTGGCTGTTTCAATACAAGAAGTTCACACAACAACATATCAAAAAATTTGAAAATGTTTGCTAATATATTAATATCATTTTTAGTACATAAACTCTGCCAATTCCATCACCTTTGTTTTTCTTTTACAAGGCACTCTGATTTCAACCGCTGACCAAGTCATCAGAGCCTTGAGCGCTGGAAATAAATGCATTCACGTCCAAAGCTGCATACGATTGGAAACCTATTGAAACAAACTGATGTGGTAACACTTTTCTGTTTTAGAAAATTAAAATTAAAAATGCACAAAAGTTAAACAAGGTCATCGGAACCAACTAAAGTCCTATCAAAAACACAAAAAAATATATTCCTCACTGATCATGAATCGTTTCTTTTATTTTAGCAACAAATATAAGCAATCTATGTTTACCTAAGTGTAGATTTAGCAACTGATTTTTGTAATTGAAGAAAAATGTACTGCTGTCAAGTGTATCGTAGAAAACCCGATATGCACGTTTAATCGAAACAAAATATGTAAAGAACAGGCAAGGTGAATTGTAAATATAGACATAACTACTTTTACCTATTAACCTATACTCAAACTCACAAACGAAAAATATCATGCTTAATCTAAAATTAAATGATTAAACCAAATAAAGAAAAATGTTTCATCAGAAGAAAATTTTGTGAAATAAAATCAAAACATGCAACATCACGAAGACTGCTTATTTTGACAAATACTGCTAGAACATATCGATAGATCGTGCTACACAAGTAAAAATTATATCATGCTTTTTCTACAAACATTTGAAAATATTCGTAATACAAAATAAAGCTGTGCGTAACTTACCTATTCACAGAAATAAAAATTCTAGTTGTACAGTTACACATGTACGTATCATTGTATTATATGGACCAAGATGGTTACTAACAGATCTAAATAATTTTTTGGATGGTATTTCTTTTTTATGGCAAAATAACTAAAGCTATTAGCCACCGTCCCTAATTTTGAGCTATTGACCAGAGGGAAGGCAGCTCCAGTCAGCGGCACCCACCATACACACTAAGGAATTGACAGTCACTCTTATAACACATTCACAGCTTAAAAAGGGGGAATATTTTGTGGTATTGAAATGACTAATACATATTTTAATTGTTTCACATCCTACTTGTAAAGAAAATACAAACATGCAGTTTAAACGTTCAAAACTGTGATGCATATGGCTTTAACATTACTTATCGAATAACAAAATCGTTATGACAAAATACTTGTCAACTAATATAACGGGCTCTAAGAAAATAATTCAATGACACTTTGAGCATATGGCATAGTCCATTCTGCATGTTGTACAAAAAAAGGCTGAGTGTAAACGTAGACACATGTCAGATAGATATGTCAGCATTTTCAAAACATGCTTAGAAAAGTTGCGAATGTTCACCACCATCAAAAGAGCTCTGTGCCTTTTTCCTTGGTGTAACTTCCTCAACACTGGCATCTTGGTAATAATCTTTATGGAATAATGTAAGCAACTTCACCGAGCTTCGAGATGATGACCAAATTAGGGTCTATAACCTGGTTGGTGAACCGATTGATCGTGACGAAGGTGTGTGGGGTGTTATGGTGTAAGTTGCATTCTAGCCCTGGGTATGGAAAAGTGCTTACACCTTAAAATTTCTTCAGGTGTCAAAAAGATCTTAAATGAACATGTCTCAAGAGCTATTAAAAACTTAGTTAATATAACAATGTGTTATTCCATCAGAACAACGCTTCCTATCATAAAGCATTTTTGAGTTTAAACTAATAATATCAACATCTTAGAAAGGCCCGCTTAGAACCCAGATTTTAACCTTATAGAACATTTCTGGAAACAGCTGGAGGGGTTAATTCGAAAAATCAGGCCACGGATGATGAATATTCGTCAACTTTTGAAACCAATAATGGAGACAAATCGCATCAAACACCTGTCGGAACCTGACTGGAAACATGCCCTGCAGAAAAACGGAAATTTAGGACACAACCTGTGCTACCTTATAGGGTAGCGATCAACAGAATCCCTCCTTACTGTGTGTGTTCAAATACATTTGGCAGGACAGTGGATATGCAAGTATATAGAAAAACGGAAGTTATTCAGGCCAATAAAAAAACAATTAAAGTTGAAGCCAGTTGTCATGTGATGACAACGACATTTTGCCTTGGTGTTTGTTTGTTTTTGGAATTTCGCGCAAAGCTACACGAGGGCTATCTGCGCTAGCCGTCCCTAATTTAGCAGTGTAAGACTAGAGAGAAGGCAGCTAGTCATCACCACCTTGGACTACTCTTTTACCACCGAATAGTGGGATTGACCGTCCCATTATATTCGAACCCGCGACCCTCAGATTGGGAGTCGAGCGCCTTATCCACCTGGCCATGCCGGGCATTATTTGAAAAGTATTTCACACAAACAACACTTAACCCGCGGGTAATTTCCTAAAAAAAAATTAACATTACACTAAATGCAATTTCTATGGGCTTTTTCGACTTATTTAGGACTAAAATGCGCATGTGCAATTCGTTCAAAACCACACGCTTGTTACTTTGTGAACATGTATGTAGACGTTTCTACATAATCTGCTAAGCCCGACCATGTCGAGATGCCGATGTCCCCTCTTCCCCCATTTATCCATCCTGATTCCTAATACTCGATATACCTGTTGCCAGTTCCCACACAATCTCCATTATATGATATATACTGGTTAGTGTTCACCCATATTTCTCCGGATTGTATCCTCCATCTGCAGATATCGCTCTTCCCCCATTTTCCACATCCTGTGCT